CGTAAAAAATGTCTTGTTACACGGGGAATTGTCTGAAGAAGTTTATATGGAGCTACCAGAAGGATGTGGGATCCCAGATACACATAGCAAGAAGTTATGCAAGTTGAAAAAGTCATTGTATGGACTAAAACAATCCCCACGAGCATGGTTTGGTAGATTCACCAAGTTAATGTTTGTTTTTGGATATTAACAGAGCAACCAAGATCATACCTTGTTTCTAAAGAAAAAGGAATGAAAGATTACAATTCTTATTGTCTATGTTGATGACATGATAGTTACAGGAGATGATCTAGAGGAACACAAGGCATTGAAAGAGTACTTGACAAAGGAATTCGAGATGAAGGATCTTGGTCCTTTGAAGTACTTTCTTGAAATTGAGGTCTCAAGATCAAAGTCAGGTATTTTTCTCTCACAGCGAAAGTATGCATTAGATTTACTGAAAGAAATTGGAATGACAGTATGCAAACCAACAAATTCTCTAATTGAAGGGGGATTGAAGTTATGCATTGAAGAAGATCAAACTCCAATTAACAAGGGAAGATATCAAAGACTTATAAGGAAATTAATGTATCTCTCACACATCAGGCCAAATTTAGTCTATGCTCTTAGTGTGGTTAGCTAGTTCATGCACAATCCAGGTGAAAAACACATGGATGTTGTTATACAGATTTTAAGGTACATAAAAGCCGTTTTTGGAAAAAGGAGTTATGTTCAAGAAGAACTCCAACTATAAGGATGTGATGGTTTATACTGATGCAGATTGGCCAAGTGCTCTTGATGATAGAAGATCAACCTCTGGATACTTTAAGCTGAACTTAGAGGAATGGTTATTGGACTTTGTGAAGGTTTGTGGCTCAGACTACTTCTCCAGGATTTAAGGTATGCACATACACATCCCATTCAGTTGTATTGTGATAATAAAGTTGCGTGCGACATTGCTCATAACCCTGTCCAACATGATCGAATGAAGCATGTGGAGGTTGATAGATTTTTCATCAAGAAAAAGTTTGATAAAAATATTTTGAAATTGTCAAATATTCGATCTGAAGATCAACTAGCAGACATTCTTACTAAAGTTGTGACAAGTCAGATTTTTAGAAGATTATTGGACAAGTTGGGAATGTATGACATTCATTTACCAACTTGAGGAAGAGTATTGAGATAAAGATATTTTATTAACTAAATTATAAATTTGTATAGTTGTACAAAATAGTGTATAATCAGAACTTACTTTATTTAGTCCTGATTTTTAGGAGTAAAATACTATAAGAACATAGTCTCTGTATTCAAAAGATATATATAAAATTATAAAATGAATTCTATACATATCTCGTATTCAAAAGATATATATATATATATATATATATATATATATATAATTATAGAATGAATTCTATACATTTTCTTAGAGAGACACCTTTCTAACCTTAATACAAAACAACAGTCTTATCGATAATTTCTACTTCCTTACAAGAAATAAATTGTTGAGTCGATGTTGAATGCCAAACATTCCATGCTTGATGTACTTGTAAGCATGATTTCCAAGAAAATCTTGGAACCTTGCAATGAAGTTTCCATATGCTGGCAACAAGATGTTTTCTATGGATTTGATAATGTGTTCCCTTAACTCCTCAATCAAGACAAATCAGGTAGCTTGAACGTTACATATATCAAATGTGAGCCATTCACAAGCAACAATACTTAAGACTGTCCTGATAGTATTGAGTTTCACAACTGGAGCAAAGATTTTAGTGTAGTCAATTCTTTCCTTTTGTTGAAATCCTTTGACGACTAATCGGGCTTTGTATCTCTTGGAGCTATCATGCTCATCTTTTACTCGATACACCCATTTGTTGTGAAATGTCTTTTTCCCCACAGGTGACTTTACTAGTTCTCATGTCTGTTTGAATACTAAAGACTTCATCTCATCTTTCATCGCAAGCTCCCACTTACTAGCATATGAAGTCTGACATGCTTCCTCATAGTTTTCAGGTTCACCTTCATCAGTCAATAATATATCATTTAGGTATTTCCTATTAGGCTTATGAGGTCAAGAAGATCTTTTTAAAGCAGGAGTTGGAGTAGAAGGCTCTACTTGGTCATTATCATCTTCAATTGATTACTCTGACAGAGGAGTATCAATTGTAGGAGTTTCTGGAACATCATCCATCTCTACATACACTATACCACACTTTTCTAAGTTCCTAGTGTATGTGTTATCCCTATCCTTATACATTACTCTTTCATTAAATATCATATCTCTACTACGAATAATCTTTTTGTTTTCATTATCCCATAAACGGTAGCCAAACTCATCTTCACCATAACCGATGAAAGTGCCCTTCTTCGATTTAGGATCAAGTTTATTCCTTCCTTTATCACTAATATGCACATATGCTACACAATACGGTTGTTAGGAAATAACACACATTTCCTACAATCAGATTTATGAAAACAATATAAATGCGGAATAATCACACACAAAATTGATAACAGAGTTCAGAAAAATAAAGTAGTATTTTTTCTCTCTCTTACCTCTCTTTTGTTTTCTTTTTAGAATTACAAAATAAACTTTTATGCAAAGGCATCTATACAAAACACAATGTATGTAAACCTCACATTTAAGTTCTTATAATTAAGCATATAAAATATCATTGACCTTTATCTTTCTCTCCAAGAAAATACGTTTCTCCTCCCAGTGGCGAATCTTCATAGTAGTTAAGGGGAGTCATGGCCCCCAAAATTTTGTAACTTACTTGTATATTTATGATTTTGGCCCCCAATATTAAATATATCATAAAGAAAAAAGCTGAAGGAATAAATTAAATATGAAAGATTAAAAATAATTTTATTATATTTTCATTTTCTCTCACTTTTTCATACTCTCTCATTAACGGTAATAATTTATTAGTATTTAATTGTTTCTCTAATTTCTAAGGAATATAGTAAATAAGAAAGATTAAAAGTAGCTCTTCATCTTCTCCCACTTTTTTATATTCTCTCGTAATGTTGATTGACTAGTATTAAATTGTTTCTATAGTTTGTACTTTTGAATTTATTATTTGTCTCTTTTCCTCCCTCCTTAGATTTCATCCTTGAAATTATATTGACTCACAAAGATATTTGTTCTTCATCTTTTCACACTACTTATTCTATTATTGTTTGTTATTTTAATTTTTGTTGAGGAACATTTGTTGTTTGAGAAAAATATTTTTGTTTTTTATAAATTTTTATGATTCTATAATTAGAAAAATAATAATAGATTCATTTTTTTCTAGATATGAAGCATAAAAGAATATATTCATTTTTTAAAAGTGATAAAAGAGATACTTGTAAAGATGAAAACCAAACAAATTCAACATCTTCTCCTGTTTCAAAGCATGATATTGATGATTCAATTATTCAATTAGAAGAACCCCTTTCTAAGATTCATAGAATTAAAACCAATGAATTTAATATTAATTCTTTGGAGCGTGACCCAGGAAAACGTCTTTAGATACATGAATATCCTATGAATCAAAGATATGAAATTAGAAGAGCTTTTATATTGGAGTCCATATCAAATACAACTTAAAAACTATCTTTTTTTCTAAAGAGAAACATCCTAGGAGATTTCAATATGGTTGGTTTAAAATGTTTCCTTTTTGGCTAGTGGAGCTTATTGTTTGTCATGTTATCTATTTAGTACATTGTCAAATGGTCGTCCTAGGGCAAATGTGTTTATTAGACAAGGATTTAGATCATGAAAAAAGATTAATTCAGGAAAGAATTATGCGTTTTTTAGTCACATTGGAGATAGTCCTTGTTTACCACATAACAATGCAATGAAAGCATGTACAAACTTATTTAATCAATCTAAGCACATTGACAACATTATAAATTGCAAAATTCAGAAGAAGTTTGCAAAAATCGTTTACGGCTTAAAACTTCTATTGATACAATTCGTTGACTAGCATTTTAAGCTTGTGCATTTAGAGGTCTTGATGAAACTCTAGATTCAAGTAATAGAGGTAATTTTCTTGAGATGATTAAACTTTTAGCATCATACAATGATAAAGTAACACAAGTTGTATTAGAAAATGCTCCTTATAATTCAAACATTTAAAAGAACGAAGGGTACAATTTTAAATAAATATCTTATTTTTTATTTATTATTATATAAAAAAATTTATAATTGACCCTCCCAGATTGATCTGGTCAAGATCCATCATTGTCTCCTCCTAAACTATATGTTGACCAATTCCAACATGAAGAATATCACCTTGAGAATATCTGAATTTCAAATTCTTCCATATTTCATTTGTTTGATCCATCCATAGGATGTTTTATCGGATTTAGAGAGAAACATAATGAACAATCCATGACACAAACATATTATTGCATTAACGTCATGATGCATATGTTGGATCTAACTTTGGTGGTTAAGGAACACTGTCATCAACGAATTCAACTTTACTTTGAATAGTAAGAACAATGATGATGGATTTGTTCCATGAGTGGTTGGAATCAAGAATAGGTGAAACTAGGACAATTGTTAGGTTCTCACTCGAGTATAAAAACAAGTGACGTTGACATTAGGAATATGCTATGTATTTCCACTCATGATGACAGTGGAAGATGGGAGATGGAGTGTGGAGTAGAGTTCTTCAACGAAAGAATTCTAATACATAATAAACATACAGGACCAAATGTAATTTGTGTACATTGTCACGCCAAATCTTATAAAACACAAAAAGGGAGAAAAAAGAAACATACCTAGTGAGGTGTAATGACCAAATTGGAGAGTGAAATGATACATATTTATAGTATTAATAAAGTTAAATGGGAGAATAACAAAAAAAGTGGTTATAAAGAAAAAAAAAAATGTAGTGGTGTGATTTTGTGTAAATCTATTACAAAAAATACAATATGATTCTGCGGTTAAGAATGTGACCTGCTTCCTTTTCTTGCAAAGACACGTTTCTGACCTTAATACAAAACAACAGTCATGTAGATAATTTCTACTTCCTTACAAGAAACAAATTGTTGAGTCGATGTTGAACGTCAAACATTCCATGCTTGATGTACTTGTAAGCATGATTTCCAAGAAAATCCTGGAACCTTGCAATGAAGTTTCCATATGCTGGCAACAAGATGTTTTCTATGGATTTGATAATGTGTTCCCTTAACTCCTCATTCAAGACAAACCAGGTAGCTTGAACGTTGCATATATCATCGAAGTGTTCATTGAAGGAAAGGAGCTTGTTTTTCATCAACTCGGTCGCAACATTAGGCTCTGACTCATTGATGTCCAACTTTAAAGTATCCACAATCTTATTCCACGAACTTCTTAGATAGAGTTCAAGTTTTTGTTGTAATTCTATTGTGTTTTTCCGGAGCCAATCGTCGCCAAAAGCAGGTTTCAAATTCTCCCGTTTTGAAGTCAGATGTATGAACCTCCTATTGTTGATGATGAAAATATAACCCAAAGTAGGGTCATTGTAACTTTTGGAGATAGCTTCCAAACTGGTATCTAGAATGTCTGCCATCATTGCTAGGTGCAAGTACAGTGACAGCTTTTCATCTTTATCAACAATAATGGGGCTTAAATCTTTCAAATTCAGATATATCATCTGAATGTAATTCAACAAATCACGGGTAATCTGGTGAATCCTGCTGCTGGGAACAGTGGCTTGATCCTTATTATCATCACTAAGATACAACAATTTCTCTATCCTGGACGATTTTACCGTGTCCATTGGAGGTTCAATGCCTATTCTTTCCCAAAATCTGACCTTATTTCTTCCAGGTAATGTAGAGAACAAATCCAGACGATGAATGAACCACTGAAAGACCCTTTCATAGAGTCTCCTTTCATTGGGTAAGACTATCCTATGAACTATCAACAGAGCTTTTACGGTATGCCGCATCTTTGCCAATTCGTCAATGCCCTCCATGTTGAGCTCTTTCAACGCGGACAGAATCTCATTCAGAAACCCCATCCGAGAAGTTCTGTACACCTGTAAACATTCCTCCTCTAACCCTGCTTTCATCATCAGCTTTATGCTTTTACCAAGTTCGTTGATAATCCCAGACGGCAACGAATCCAGAACCAAGTTGTCGTCCGGATGCAACTGCGGCAATTGATTTATATGGTTCTTAGTGATCAAATCAGCTTTAAGGTATTCATCCACATGCTTGAGTATAGTGAGGATAAGGTTCCCATTCTCCTTCTTAAGGGTCTCTATGCAACCCTCGAACTTTGCCACCAAACTATTAACATCAGTGTCACTGTTGTTATGTTGTTGTGGTTGACCGACTAGTAATCCTTGATCCTCGTTTTCTGGTGGGGAATCAGCCTCTTGAGCCATGGTAACAATAAGTTGGGCTGAATCCACTTGACCAGTCCTAGGACTGGTTCTGGTTCCGGTTCCTTGTGATTGCAATTGTGAAGCAACTTCAATGACTACATGATCTCGGTCTTGGATTCCATGATAGATACTTTTGGAAGAAAACAAAGTGGAACGGAGAATGATGAGGGAATAAGTGAAACTTCCTCCAACGATGACTAACCATAATTTAATTTTCATGAGTTGTAGTGTCAGGGCTCCACTGAAAAAGTATAAGAGATCAACCTCAAATCCGAAGTGGCATAACCTTACCAAGGCTAAAGACATGATAGCAAAAGCAGCACATGAAACCAGGCTATATGCATCTGGTTTTCCTTTCACTTCTTTATCGAAGAAAAAGGAGTAAATACATGTGATCATCAAAATAACAAAGACCAGGTGAGTTTCCATCTGAGGAGAACACTTCCAAGCCTTTGCAAACAAGACGGCTAGGCAGATAATAAAACTAAAAACAATGTAGACTAATATCTTCCACCAGGTCCAATTTCCATACAAATGATTGAAAGAAGAGCTGAGAGCATAGCAGAGTAGTCCAACAATAGATGAAAAGAAGCACACAAATCTCCATACCTTTGTCTTTTGCAGACAACTCTGAATTTTTATGAGGATACGCTCCATGTTTTTTCTTTCTCGAGTAAGGTTGACTTGCATTGAGGAAGACAGAAGTCTCTAGCTGCCAGTTTTGACTTGGGAAAAACTCTCTATGTTTAGAAACTTCGAGGAAAGAGGATGGAAAGCGACATTTTGAAACTAATTTTGGAAAAACTATTAGATGGTTATATTCCATTTAAGGTTTGATGATTTTTCTAAACAAACTTTATTTTAATTTTTTAACTTGAGTTTTCTCTTGGACAATTGTATTTTTTGGGTTATGATTTGTCCAAGCTATTGGTTTATTAATTTCAAGGTATATTTGATCTGGCTGTGTGTGTTAAAGAAGGGGTTTGAATAAAGTTTAAATTTTTGGCTTACAATGACAATATAATGTCACTTTTGGTAACCTCACAAATTAAAGTATGGTTTATTCTTATCTCTTATATATCAATTAATCATTTTAAAATCAGACTATTTATTGAACCGGTGAAAAAAATGGATTTAAAAGATTGAGTTGAGTTTAATTACAACCAACTAAATTTAATAAAATAATATATTTAATAATATAAGAAGTTTATTAGTAATAATTTTTTTATAAAAAAAATAATAAAGATTATTATCATACTCACTGTAAGTTATAATAAAAAATATAAATATAAAATATATTAGAAAATATAATATTAATAATTATTAAAATAAGATGAAAATATAATAAAAATAATTATTATTTAACATTTATGTGATTAATATAAGATAAAAAAATTAAAATATATTATATCTTTTAAAGTTATATTAAAAAAAATAATTCTAAATCTTTCTTTTTATTAAAATTGGTTCAATCCAAAAACTTTGTCCGTTTTTTTTTATTTTGTCTCAATTTAATTAAAATATAATTATTTGAAAGTAATAAACTGAATTATAATTTGATTCTCAACTAAACCAGTTGAATATGCCGATCCAGTCTGATTTTCAAAACAATAATATTAAGTATGTTCAAGATTACAAATAATAATAATAATATTACAAAATTCCAACTCTCATTAAAAGGATATAAAACAAACTCTTATATACAAGACAAAAATAATTTACAAAGTGAAAGATAAATATTATTTAGAATGTTAAGATATGAAAACTATATTCACAATATAAATTTTATAAATGTTTTTGTTATCGTTGATTTATTTCTAGTATAAATGATTCATTATTCGATTTAATTAAATTGTTATCCAATTACGCAATGAATAATTTAAATACAATGTGAATTCATTTTATACCAATCATTCAATATTTAAAACATAATATATTTTAACTAAATATTGGTCACATATAATTTTTATATTTGTAATTTTATTTGAAACATTTAAAGTAAACTCGTTAGTAAAGAACAATAAAAGTAAATTGTTGAAAAGTATATATGCGAAGAAAATAAATGACAAAAATATAAATCTAACTCATTACTAAGGATAAAACAAAAATTGGTAAAGAAAATCAATAAAAATGACAATCTAAATTGTAAAGAACTTCATCAAAAATGTTTATTTCCTGTTTATAACGTTTCTCGAATACAAGTCTTCCTACAATTTGACAATCACCTTTTTATTACATTTATTTCCCTTATTTATATTTTCCTCCATTAAAATAAAACTACACCAAAATAATAAAAGAAAACTTCAACTAAAGTAAAATACATTAAAAAATAAGATAAAAATTCGTAAACGGTTACTTTATTACAACTGTCCTCTCTCTCTCTTCAACCCATATTATCGTCACGTCCCTCCTATTAGTGTGCATATATCATAATGGAATAAATGGTTTTCGTATATATCTCTTCGATTATGTTACTTTTTTTTTATATCTCATCTTTGTTGTTTTACACCATAAATCTCGATATCTTTTACTTCTTCAATCTCTCAATGTTTGGATTAATTACACTTATGATATTTTATTTTTCAATACATTCCTTAATCATTTCTTTAATAACCTCTACTTTTTAAATTTTTTCTATTTATTCACTACATGTACCTTCAGTCCTTTCAATCCAATAAATCATATTAAATTTCCTTCCCATTTTTTTTTACAATTTCCTTTAATTACTATTGATTCTCAATTTTTCGATACCTCAAATTTACTATTATGATCTTTTAACACTTTTTTCTCATTTCTCATTTCAATACATTTGGCCTTATTTCTCAATTCATTCTTTTCAATTCATATGTAATTTTACCTCTAATAGATTACTTCTTGTTTCTTAACATCTCTATTTGTAATTTTTATGTAAAACTAGTAATTATGAAACCTAAAATCGAAATAGACACTAGTTAGGACAACTTCTAACATTGTCTCTAAGTTTTAAGAACATTTATGCATGTTTTTGAAGAGCATATGAATAATGTTTCTAAATTTTTTGTTCTAATCTGCCGAACTTTTTATACGCTCTAACATCAAAAGTTGACTTGATAAAGAATATTTTTCTTAAAGTTTGTGTTAATATGATATTTGAAAAGATGAAAAAGATATAAGATGAGCTTTTTGTGATTATAACATCATATGAGCATTGTAGTCCTTGAGATGTATTAGTTAAGTGTGACGGCATGGGATAATATGTTGTTGGCTCATCAAATAATAAGTACTCAATGTATTAGCATAATTGCTACATGTCAATTGGTGTATGTCTTGGCAATTTAGAATTTCAGAAAATGTATCTTACATTCAATTTATGAAAATATATATTAAATATTTAAAATTTAATAGTATCTGTTATTATTAAAATATTAATTATAATATAACTTTAAATTTAAGATTGTATGTAGAAATATAACAATATATTTTTTGTGATCACTCTTAAACTCGAAAAGTTAAAAATTATCTCAAATCTTATAATAAATAAAAATTATACTCATAATTTTAATGATAATAAACATAATTATGTTTTGAATATTTAATATGTATGTTGAAAATAATACAAAAATTATATATAAGTTATTAACAAGTTACTCTTGGGCATATTCTATGTGTACCATTCTTGAAAATTTATTTAATCATAAAACTTTTATAACGGAGGAAGAGTTATAGTTTCATTACCCTAGGGCGTGTGAAACATTTTTATTTCCCTGTTCAACTGGGTTTTATTTATTATTGTGATTTAGGACTATGTTTAATGAATAAAGTATATAAAGAAAATGGGTGAAAAATAAATTTAGGTCTCCTTCATAATTTATTCCTTAAATGTGGCCATAAACCCTGTTGCATGCATTTCCTATAAAAACTTTTTCTTGTCTTTTTCCATATTTTTTTATTTAAAATTAATTTGAATATATCTGAGAAAATGCTTTTCTTTTAAACAAGTTCAAAAAACTACACTTCATCCACATAAAGATATTATTGAGAACAATTTAGAATATACAATTTCATTATCTCTTGCTCTTCTAGTTTGGTATCAAAGCTAAGACTTTAAGTCAAACACCTTACAATGTTGAAAGGTGAAAAAGTCCATAAGCAATTCAAATTTAGAGAATTTATTGACTCAATATTAAACGAGTTTCACTACCATGCGACCCCATTATTTTCTAGAGATGATTACCCTCGTAGAGAAACAACATAGAGTTCTTCTCATAATATTACTTTAAAATTAAAAAATAAATTATACTAGTAGTTTCAATTTCACTAAAGAAAGAGTATATCAATAATGTGTAACAGATAGTGCATCAATTTTCATTTTTTCCCACACAATAAAACATTTTATGTTATGTATTTTCATAATTAATTTTAATTATTAATAGTTCTAGATTAATGTTTTTAATTCATCTTCATATAAAACTTAAAAAAATCAATTTAAAAAGGGTAATGGCTTGGCTTGAAAGTGAAAGTAGCAATCAAAGAAGAGATAACCAAATGCCACTGGAAGCATTGTTTGTGTCGATAAATGGGTTACAACATGTAAGATTTCATTATATAAGGAACTTTTATAGTGAAGGAACAAACTCCTTCAAACTCTCCAAAAAGTTTTAAAATATAATTTAAATTTTTAAAATATATTTTTAATTTTTAATTTTAATTCAAATATTTTTAATTAATTATTTTAGTATAAATGTATTAATAATTTTTTATTTTTTAATTCAATCATAATTGACTCATTAGTATGTTGATTTAACGTATTCTTAAGTTAAATTAAAAATTATAATTCATTTTAAAATATAAATAAGATTAAATTATCAATTTTTTTATGGTTTGTAGGATTAGAGTAGATTGGACTAAATCTTCTATTTTAACAATTCTATAAAAAAAATGTGACAAACCATAATTATTCTTTCATCTTCCTTTTTTATAATATTATTTTTTCTATATTTCGGATCAAGATAATTTAAATGTTAATGTGAAGTAAAGTAATGAAAATTAATTTTTAAAATCCATCACCAAAAAATTCCTACGTATATATGAAAAATAATAATAAGCATCACTACTACTATACTTGTAGAAATCTAGTAAAATGGAACTATTTGTACACATTATTAAAAGCTTCAACTTTAGTCACAAGTTAAATAATAAAAGTTAAAGACAATGATGAAACCAATTGTACAATATTTTGGCATAACTTGAAGCAATGTTCATTTTCTCATTTACACTTTTGTTTCTGGTGGAATTTCGATCGATTTCGATTCTAAACAGTATTATGGTCCTAATCGAAATCCTCCCACGTAAGTTCTTTTTACTTAGGCTAGCAGTCTGACTTTCAATCGAAAACGTGTATGAGGATCGAAAATCACAAGATATCAAGAAAACTGTTTTTGGTATTTTGTATTTAAAGTACTGAAAACAGTAAAGTATCGAATCGAGAAACAGAACATTAAATTGCAAGAAAATATAAAGTGCAAAAACCCCAAAATTGCATTAATTGTAAATGACGAGGAATCGAAAATAGTGCAAATATAAATGGCAGGAAATCGAAATGTGCAGGAAATGTAAATGGCAATAAATCGAAATTGCAAGAAAAGTAAATGACAGGAAATCGAAAATACAGAAACTTA